AGCACGGCTCCGGGAAAGGCTTGAGCCGGGGAAGCCGCGCTGCCATGGGGCTCACTGCACGTGTGGGGCTGTGGGGTAGTGCGAGAGCAAGCGTGGGACGGTGCCCAGGCATGGCAGGGGCTGGGGGTGGAGGGCTGGGGGGCTGTGACCAATTTGGGGGACAACTGATGGGGACAAGGATGACCCCAGGGCCGGAGTGATCCCTGGGAAGCAATGGGGCAGGAGTGGGGCTGGAAGGGAGCTGGGGCACTCGGGCCCTGGGGTGATGCTGGGGCGAGGACAGCGGGTAGCAGCAGCCCTGAGGCATGGTGATGGGCAGAAAAGCAGCTATTTGCAGGGACGATGACTGACTTCGACTGCTGCGGCTGCTCTTTCTCATCCTCCACATTGTGGCATGCTCGGGTCCTGTCCCACTGTGGGGTCCGAGACCAGGGACACCACCGTCCCCACCAGCCCCAGGCTAAAAACCACACCGGTGCGAGTAGTTTGGGGTGGGGAGAGGGAAAATCTAGTTCAGACAAAGAGATTAAAAAGTTCCTGATTTCTTGCAGGCACATCAGCTGTTGCAAGAGGTTTCACTTTGAGCTGAGCCGAGTATTTGATTCAACCTAAGCCTCAACGTTTTGCTTTAATTTGAAGGGGTTTCATATGTTTAACTTGAAAATTAAAGTGAAAGAGAATTTTATGCCGTAAAATCGCTCTCAGCCCCCAGTCAAAATTTGGTTTGTTAATGCTCAATCAAATCCTTCTCAGCTTCTTCTGAAAGCCTTTTCCTTTTTAAGTTCTTCTCAATAACACTGTGAAACTGGTGTAAATTCATGAAGCGTTTCTGCATTTGCATTTTTCACCCCAAAAAATCCCAGCTGCAAAATGTCACTTAGTCCTGGCACCACTCGGCGACGTAAAGAGCATCTGGGAGCAGTGGGAGAGGGCTCCTGGGCTAGCCCAGATGCTTGGTTTTCATTTTGTAAGGGAAAATGAGCTTTCCTGCATCCCAGGAACTTCGCAACGGGTTTCCTTTCCCCTCCAACACGGTCACAAGTGCCATCGCTCTCTTTCTGAGGAGCCCATCACATCCCAAAGGCTGTGCTGGCGTTGCAGCTCTGCTTTGGCATCGCTCTGGGCATGGCTTTTCCTTGCCGGCTGTCACCTCCCCAGAGGGAGCGGTGACTGGAGCAAGGACTGGTGGTACCTGCCACATCTCCTGCTGTGCCCCAGCTCTCTCAGCTGGGACTGGGGGCATGGGGGTGCCCCATAAGAAGCTCAGTGGGGCCCCACGTGCTGGGCTGGGGCAGATCTTGCCCTTTCCTGTGGAAGGAGGTTTTGGATGATGCCAGGTCCTGAGGCCATGGCAGAGGCTGGCTTGGGGCCAGGGGACACATCCTGCCTGGCTGCAGCTTTGTGGTGAGTTTTAGCCTGATGGGATGCTGCAAGGAGGGTGCTCTGCTGGTGGCATCAAGGGGACAGTGGGGATGGGAGCATGCTGGTGGCCTTGACTGGGATGCTTTAAATGTCATCAAGCACCTCTGGAGCCATAGAGCAGTTTCTTGTGTCGTTGGACATCAAACCAAATGGATAAATATTGGGATGCTGTGTTCTCCCTCGTCCAAAGTGCTTAGGGGAGCCAGGAACAGACCACCTCCCAGCCTGGCTGTGCTTCTCCACCAACTTCTCAATGTTCCCCTTGGTCCCCAGGGACCTGTCTCTCACTGGTTGGCTTCGGATGGGCAATGCTTTGTTCTGGAGGTCCTGGCAGTGGGGTGGGACACTGGCTCCGTCTCCATCCTGCTCTCCTTGCTCACGGCCGTGCCCTGATTTCGGCAGGAGTTTGCGACACTGACGCGGGAGCTCAGCGCGTGCCGGGAGCAGCTCCTGGAGAGGGAAGAGGAGATCTCGGAGCTGAAAGCCGAGCGCAATAACACCCGGGTAAGTGTGTAAAACCTGCTGTCTGGCTTTCAGTCCCCAGAAATGTGGGACGCCGCAGGCTGCTGGGCCGATGCCGGCATCAGCAGCCCCCGGGCTGCTGAGAGCCTCATGCTTGCCCTCTTGCAGCTCTTGCTGGAGCACCTGGAGTGCCTGGTGTCGAGGCATGAGCGGTCCCTGAGGATGACCGTGGTCAAGCGTCAGGCCCAGTCACCGTCTGGGGTTTCCAGTGAGGTCGAGGTGCTCAAGGCACTCAAGTCACTCTTCGAGCATCACAAGGCGCTAGATGAAAAGGTGAGACAGGCTGCTGGGACCTCTCTCCGTGAGCGTCCCCTGCTCAGAGCTGACCTTCTCCCAACCCTCCACCCTCCAGCTGGATGCCGTTTTTTTTCTTAAACTGTGTGGTGACATGGGGGTCCCTCAGGAAGAAGGTCTTGGGTATCCAAAAGCTGCATCACCCTCATTTTTAGGAGCCAGTGGGGCTGCTGAGTGGGTTTGAGGCTGTCGGGGACAGGGATCTTGCTTCCTCTGGTCACTCACGTGGTGGCGATGAGCGCTGGCATTTGGCACCCTGGTTCAGTCTTTGCATTACAGCTCATATTGTTCCTCCTGTTTGATTTACCTTGAGCAGCTCCTTGCTCTGCTAAAAAAAAATCTTCAAGCTGCCCTGGCCATGGGTCTGCTGCAAGAATCAGTTTGATCTGGGCTGTTCCTCTCCAACATGCTTTTGCTCTCCCAGGTGATGGGCTGGAGCATCCCTGAGTTGTTCCGTGGATGTGAATCCACCTGAGCCTGCTGTCAGCCAGACAAAAGGGGCTGGGAACTTGCCTAGATTCTGGGCACCCTCATCACGGATAAATAATGGCTTTCCCTGTTATTTTACATAACTGCAGGTCAGGGAACGCTTGCGAGCAGCATTGGAGCGAGTGGCAACCTTGGAGGAGCAGCTCGTGGATGCCCATCGGCAGGTAAGAGGTATCTGGCAGCCTACCCTTGCAGGGGCTTGCCCGCTGGGTCCTTGCTGGGGCTCCCACTGGGCTGGGACTGCTCCGTGTTACATTTTTGAATTCATGTTGAATTTGCTGAAATACCACCCTCAAATGACCATGCAGATTGAAGTGTCATTTTGGCATTTTTAGTGTAAGGCTTTTATTCTAAAATTGCTGTTTACATGAAGACTTGCCTGAATTTAAGGGAAACCTTGTAGATACTGTGAAAATTTTTGTCTCACGGGCAAGGTTTCCTCTATTGTTTTGCTGTTTGGTGTTCATTTCACTGAGAAAAGCAACCTGAACTTGAATCATTTAAGGGGACTGAGAGTGACTTTGCCTGTGGGCTTTTCCCCCGCCTCAGCAAAGACCCAAACCTCGCTGCTCCAAACACCCTGTCTTGCATCCCCCATTTCTTTCCTTGCTCGGGCCCTGGCGTGGGGACTTCTCTGTCCCCAACATTTAGCCCTGTTCATCTTGGAGGTGGTGAACCACACTTTCCTCATGAAGTTTGTACCCAGCCACCACTGCCAAAAGGACAGAGCCATCCTTACAGCCTCTGCCTGGCCAAATTTTGCTTTTCTTTCCAGTTCCCAGGATGTGTCCCGCGGTACTTCCGCAGGCGCAGCGGGGAGGCAGTGCCTGGCCCTCGGTCACCTTGCAGGGACCTGTCCCCATCCTCCCGCAGCAGAGCAGGGTGTGATGCCAGTGTTTATCCCCTGCTCCTGCTGGCTATGTCGGCACCAGGTTTGGTGTCTGTCTGGCTGCAAACTAGTGAAATGAGTTGGGAGGGAGTCCTGGGGTACAGGCCCCCGGTCCCCGAGGGCACCCCAGGACAGCCTTACTGCTGGGGCTCGGGCCCTTTGCGTGCCTGTAGCAAGCACCACTGTGTCCATGCAAGATGTGGCTTCATCCTCCATCAGCGCTGAGCCTTCACAGCGTCTCTGCCTTCCCCTCTCTTCTTCACCCTAGCCCTCCAGTTCCCCCAGCTCTAGGCACTAGCAGACTGTGAGGGTGGAGGAAGACAGCGGGAAGCCGGTTGCAGACCTGGGTGCACCAGGACCGGCCCTACCTGTGACCGGACCAGCTGGTCTCATCTGCTTTCTCTCATTAATTAAGCCCTGTCGCCATGCAGGTGGCGGCTCTGCAGCAAGGCGCCGCGCGGGAGGCGCCGGCGGCTGAGCGGGATGAGAGGGAGCCCAAGGAGCCAACACAGAAGCTTCCCTGGAAGGTGAGAGCCCCAGAAACCCCTGCTCTGACCACGCTCACCGACGCCACCGTTTCTCCAACCCCCTTGCCACTGGCTCCAGGGTGCTGAAAACGTTTTTCCCTCTCCCCTGGGTCCAACCCCCTGGGAAATGCCCTTCCCGGTGGATACAGGCCATTTCTGAGTGGAGGGGAATTTGTGCTCCTGCTCGGATGCTCCTAGGGGCTCTGCTTCCCACAGGCACTCTGGGAAGCCCTCAGCCGTTCCCGTTCCATCGTGCCTGTGAGAAGCCACATCCCTGCCTAGCGGAGACTGGTGACAGGGGGTCCCAGAGCCCCATGTTCCCACTCCCCACCTCACTGGGTCCCCGCAGGCTGTGTTCCCCCATTGCGTAGCTGCAGGCAACGCCAGCCCGTGCTTTGGGGCAGCCCGGCATCCACCTCCCTCTCTGCTGCCTTGCAGCGGCTCTCCCACGGCTCCGTCCGCCCGGACGATGAGGCAGGGCGGGTGGTGGAGCTGCAGGAGCTCCTGGAGAAGCAGAATTTCGAGGTCGTCCAGGCCAAGGAGCGCATCTCTGCGTTGGCTGCCAGCGTCGCCGAGCTGGAGGAGGATCTGGGCACCGCCAGGAAGGATCTGATCAAATCGGAGGAGATGAGCAGCAAGTACCAGAGGGACCTCCGAGAGGTTAGACACTGCCCTCTCGCACTGCCAGGCCTGTTGCCGTTGCAGAGACTTTCACAGCAGCTTCCACATGCTCTGGGCTGGGAAGGGGTTGTAACCCCTGTTGTATGTAGGGTGAAGGCCAGTGTTCCCCAAAAGAGACCACTGCCTTTGGGAGATTGTCCCCAAGTCCATCACCAGGACTTGCCTGAGGTTATAAGCAGACACCGAGGTACCCAGGTGCGCTGCAGACCTGGGGCAGTGAGCTGTGTCCGTGCTAGACATTTTTTCTGTGATTGCCTGACTCTCCCTTTATTGATCTCCCACTCTACTGTCCCTCATTGCTGTGCAGAGCAGGGTTTTCATTGCATGCTTGGACTCGGGGGTGTCCCAGGCTTGCAGGAGCTGGGGGGCCCAGTTATTCCCAAATTGGTGGTCACAGATCAGGATGTGACAGCCCTGTCACTTCCCCAGGCCCTGGCTCAGAAAGAGGACATGGAGGAGAGGATCACCACGCTGGAGAAACGCTACCTGGCAGCCCAGCGAGAAGCCACCTCCATCCATGACCTCAATGACAAGCTGGAAAACGAGTTGGCCAACAAGGAGTCCCTGCACCGCCAGGTACCGAAGCTTGGACCCAAAGACTCCCCACCACCCTGGGGACCTGGGAGGGAGAAGCAAGTGCTGGGGATGGGACAGGCAGACAAGCCTTGGTGCTGGGCACCCATCCTGTCCTGTTCTGCAGTGCGAGGAGAAAGCCCGGCATCTGCAGGAGCTGCTGGAGCTGGCGGAGCAGAAGCTGCAGCAGACGATGCGGAAGGCAGAAACGCTGCCCGAGGTGGAAGCGGAGCTGGCCCAGCGCATCGCCGCGCTCACCAAGGCAAGTGAGCGGGGCACACGGGGACGGCCGGGACAGGAGAGGGCACAGAAGCCAGAGGAGGAGGCAGGTCTGGCTGTCCCCTGCAGCGACGGAGCTGCTGGCAGGCCCAAGGCACCCCGCTCGCATTCCCAGCCTCTGAGCTTTGCTGTCCTCTGCCTCCACTGTGGCTGCGGGGACAAAGCAGAGTTTTTAAAGCTCCTGACGTGTCCTGCACGCGTGAGGCTTGCTCCCTTCCCTCAGCTCCTTTCTCCAAGGCAGAGATGGCCATGTCAATCCGAGTGGCCTTCAGCTTGTGCTGGGACCACTCTGGGATGGGGAGGGAGAGGATGGACCTAGGCTGGATCTGGGAGGGTGCAGGCCTGGAGGGAGGTGTGGATACAGCCAGCCCTGCCTTTCCCGGGCGCTGGAACGGGTGCCAAGTCGCTCACAGAGCACCTCCGTCTCCCACCAGCTCGCTGGCAGGGCTGTTTTGGGCTGACGGCACAGAGTGAACCACGGCGGGGGTGCAGGGACGGGAGAGAGCGCCGCATCCCGGGGAAGGATGCGGATGCAGGTGTGGAAGGAGGAGTGCAGGAGGAGCCACCTGGTTTTGGGGAGCATCATCCAAGAGGGCTGCTCTGCTTTTCCCAGGCAGAAGAGAGGCACGGGAGCATCGAGGAGCACCTCCGGCAGCTGGAGAGCCAGCTAGAGGAGAAGAACCAGGAGCTGGCCAGGGTAAGTGCTGCTCAGCCTGTACAGGGGAGTCCTGATCCGGCCTTGGCTCTGCCTTGCCATGGTGGCTAGGTACCTGGGCGCACCGTGAAGGGTGGGCTCGCTGGTGTCTCTGAAGCAGGGTGTGGAGAGGGCCTGGTTAATCCTTTCCCATCCAGGATCTCTTCATCTAGAGTCACCCAGGAGCTCATGACACTCTCTGCTGTGATTTCCCCCTCTCCCAGGCATCCAAATCTTGCTGATAGCATGCCACGTCCACTCCTCTCCCAGCATCACCTCCTGGGGCAAGCTGGGACCCCAAATGCAGGGTGGAGGGGGAAGCTCCAGCTGCTCTTCCCCCCAGCCTGGATCAGCAGCAGGGTGAGACCGATGGGTGCTGGGAGCAAAGGGTGCTGCCCCTCAGAAAAGCAGGGATGTGGACGATGTGTCATGGGACACAATCCCTGCTGTGCTCCTTAGCCGGTGGCTGGGCTGTCTGTGCCTCCTGTCGTGATGCCCATTTCTCGGGTCACCCAGGTGGTATTAGAGTGTGTGCTCCTGGGGAAGCTCCTGGTTATTTTGGCCTGGGGCAGACATTTGGAGAGACCTTTGCAAATCCAGAGGATCGGCACCCTTTGGGGTCTGGAACATGCCCCCAGTGGGGCTGTCCCTGGTAGATGCACAGGTGAAGCTTTCTTGGGGGCCAGGCAGGCAGGATCTCTTTGGATCCTGTCCTCTCTCCTGTTCATCCTGGCTGGGAAATGGCAGAGACCGGCAGAGCCCCAGCAGAGGGTCTGATCTGTGCTGTAAGGGCTGGATTTGTCCCCAAATGCTATGCCTGGTGGATCAGCTCTGACACCACCAGCAGGCGCGGGACGGCAGGAGAGCACTGAGCCCCTCATGGCAGGAGGAGCAGGTCCACCGGATCTGACGTGGCTGGTCGCTGTTTGCAGGCTCGCCAGCGGGAGAAGATGAACGAGGAGCACAACAAGCGGCTCTCGGACACCGTGGACCGTCTGCTGAGCGAGTCCAATGAGCGGCTGCAGCTGCACCTCAAGGAGAGGATGGCGGCCTTGGAGGAGAAGGTAGTAGCTGGGG